CAGGCTTCCTGACTCCCTCTGACCTGGAGCTGGTTGTGGATCACCTCATCCGTCTCGCTCTGCATGAGGAGGATTCCCAGAGCAGGTGAGGGGCAGGCTGGCACCACTGCAGTCACCCATGCTCTGGGGAGAGGAACAAAGCCTGGCTTTGCTGCAGAGAGGGACTGTAGTCTGGGGGCAGGCACAGGAGCTGTCTGAACTAAAAGACCATGTTGGTGTAAGAGCAAAGGGATAAACCAGGTGATTTCTGGGCTGGAAATTAGAAAGTCTGGGCCTGTTGAAGTAGGGGACTCTGCTCTGCCTGCCAGTAGGGTGAAAAAGGCAGATTGCTGGGAAATAGGTTTCTGGAGGCATCTTCTGGCCCAGATCTTTGCAGCTGGCGTACGCGCAGCCCAGGGCTGGCAGTGCTCACATCACCCCTCCTGCTCTCTTTCCCCGCTGGCAGCGAAGCAGCAATGGAGGCAGCCGGATCTCTGGCCCCCATCTATCCAAAGGTTTTCTCTGGACGCATGGTACCCAGGCTTGAAGAGGAGCTGCAGTCAGGTAGGGCTGGTGGCCCTGGGAAGGGAGTGATGTCTGGTTTTGGGGTGAAGCCTGTCCCATCCCCATTTGGCTCCTACCAGGCAGCAGGGCTGTGCCACATGGCGTAGGTCGGTGGCTCTCCTTGGGGGATTCCCAGCACAGGCACTGAGGTGCTGGCACAGGGACGGCCATGCCTGGTCCTGGCAACCAGCCTGCGCGGCCGGGATCACCCTTGCGGTGAGGAGCTGCCCAGCCACGGGGCAGGCAGAGCGCCTTGGGCCTGGCAGGGGCTCGTTCTGCTGTGCTGCTTCACCCCATCCACCCCGGCAGGGTCTGGGCCCTGAACGCCCCTGGGTGAGGGGGGCCTGGGGTCACCCCAGCACCCCTCTGAGCTGTGTTTTCTCTTCAGAGCGGGAGGAGGAGAGCTCCCGCGACCACTGCTCCCTGCGGCAGCGCTGCCTGCAGGCCCTGGCAGCCGTGTCCATCCACACCAGCATCGTGAGGGAGACAGTCCCTGTCCTGCTGCAGCATCTCCGGAAGGTGCAGAAAGGTAACGCAGCCCACGACAGGCGGCTCCACGGAGCATGTCTGGGCAGGAGCTGCCTCCGTTACCAGGGATGGCTGGGAGAGAGTGGGGATGGCAGTGGGGCGAGGAGCCCAGGGCTGGGCTGTGAGTCCCACCGGTGGAGAGGGAGTAGGGAGGGCTGTATCACACTGGGATCCCGGGGGAGATCAGGGCAGTGGGCGCTGCAGTTGTTTGATGTGACAGTGACTGTGCCCTGCAGGGAATGAGGCCAGGAGCGCCCAGGACGTGGTCTCTGTGTGCCAGAGCCTGCACCGCGTGGCCCTGCAGTGCCAGCAGGACGCGGAGGGCTGCTGGTACTACCACCAGACAGTGGTGCCCTGCCTGCTGGCCATGGCCGTGCAGGCTGCCATGCAAGGTAGGTGCGGGGCTGGGGCGGGAGCGGGGAGAGCAGGCAGTTCCCCGGGCTCTCTGGGGTCCCTGATCCTGCAGCCAGCGCTGCTGCTGCCGCCCTCCGGCAACCGCGGGCACTGCGGGCCCCGCTGCCCCCCTGCCAGGGCCAGAGCAGCCCTGTCCCACGGCGGGCGTGGGTCAGGGGGCTGTGCCTGCCTCCTCCCCTGGGCAGCGGGCTCCAGCGTGTCCCTTTCCTCCCGCTGCCTGCAGAGAGCACCCGCCCGCTGCTGGGCAAGGCGCTGCTGGAGGAAGAGGTGCTGGCTGCCATGGTCCCGGTCATCAGTGCTGCCACCACTCACCTGAGCCCTGAGTGAGTGATGCTGGGGCGGGACGGTGGGCGCTCCATGATGGCAAGGGGGCAGGCTGCGTCCCGCCTGCTCCTGGGAGACCCCGCGCCTCCCGGGAGGTACCCCGGAGCTCTCTGGTGACCCTCCCGGAGCAGCACATTGCGATGTCTCCTTTCTCCTAGGCTGGCTGCCCAGAGTGTGTCTCACGTGGTGCCCCTCTTCCTGGACGGAGAGGTCTCCTTCCTGCCCCAGAACAGTTTTCCCTGCTCCTTCCAGCCCTTCGAGGTGTGTTGGGTGCTTGGGGCTGGGGTGCCGAAACAGAGGCAGGGAATGAGGATGTCGGCACAGGCCTGGCAGCAAGGACTGTGATGACATGGGTGCTGTTCTTCCCCCGCAGGACGGGGAGTGCTTGGAGGCACAGAGACGGCTGGTTGTTCTCCTCATGGCCTTTGTCTGCTCCTTGCCCCGCAACGTAAGTCGGTGGGGAGCAGGGTGGAGAAGGGGCCCTGACCGAGCGCCTTCCTGCCCGGGTCCACAGCAAGCTCCACAGGCAGAAGAAGGGAGCAGCTGCGGCCCTGGGCTGCAACACGCTCCTTGTCTCTTCCAGGTGGCAATTCCTCAGCAGTCTCTTCGAGGGCGCAATTCCTCAGCGGGACCGGCTGCTCGGGGAGCTGCTGGCGCTGAGTTGCTCCTGCAACTGCCCCTTCACGGCCACCACAGCTGCCAAGTGCTTCGCGGGGCTGGTGAACAAGCACCCGGCGGGTAAGGGGGCCAGGCAGGACGCCGTGGGACTCTGCCCGCTGCTGGCACAGGAACGGCTCATCCTGTCCCTTCTGTGTCCCCAGGGCAGCAGCTGGATGAGATCCTGCAGCTCGCAGTGAACAGGATGGAGCCCGGCCTTGCGGAGGGGCCCCGCCGAGCACAGGCCCTCACCCTGCTGCTCTGGGTAAGGCCTGCCCTGGGTGCGGGAGGGGAGAGCGCCAGGGAGGGCCGGCCCGGCGCTGACTCTGCTCTGCCCACACAGGTGACCAAAGCCCTGGTGCTGCGCTACCACCCCCTGAGCTCCCGCCTGACGGACAAGGTAAGCGGCGGAGGGGCTGGCTGATGTCCGAGGAGCCTGCCCGCTCCCCCCGCGGCTGGCTGGGACCCCCCAGCCGCAGGGTGCCCTGTCTCAGGGCTCTCTCCCTCGCAGCTGCTGGGCCTGCTGGCCGATGCAGAGCTGGGCCCTGCCGTGGCCGACGGCTTCTCCCTGCTCATGGCCGAGTCCCCGGATGTGCTGCACAAGGGCTGCCACGCCGACGTGCGCATCATGTTCCGCCAGCGCTTCTTCACCGACAACGTCCCCAAGCTGGTGCAGGGCTTCCACGGGGCTGGCCCCGGTGAGCGGCCACCCCCGGCCCGGCCTTTCCACCCCGTGACCCCTTACCCAGGGGACCTGAGCCGGCGTCCCCTCCTCCGCCCGGCTGCCTGTAACCATCTCTGCTCTCCACAGACGTGAAGGCCAATTACCTGAAGGGCCTGTCCCATGTGCTCAACCACCTCCCCAAGCCCGTGCTGGTGACGGAGCTGCCCACGGTGAGAGCCAGCCTTGATGGGCGGGATCACGGCAGCGCAGAGTGCGTGGCTGGGAGTTACTCATGTCTCCTGTGTCCTCCCCACCCGCAGCTGCTTTCCCTCCTGCTTGAGGCTTTGTCCTGCTCGGACCGCGTGGTGCAGCTCTCCACGCTGAGCTGCCTCCAGCCGCTGTTGCTCGAAGCTCCCCAGATCATGAGCCTGCACGTCGACACACTGGTCACCAAGTTCCTCAGCCTCACCTCCAGCCCCACCATGGTGCGTGTGCCCCCGCCTCCCCCTGCCACAGGCCCCCTCCTCCGCCCTTCCCGCTGCCCTCACCCCTGTCTGTCTGTCTGTTCCAGGCTGTCCGCATCGCTGCCCTGCGCTGTGCCCACGCACTTACCAGCCTGCCCATAACAGCGGTAAGTGTCCCTGCAGCGGCCTGCGTGTAGAGGGGCAGGGGGGTCCCAAACCTCCTCCTGGGAGGCAGCTGGCACCCAGCTCTCTCTCTGAGACCCCTTTCTGTCCCACAGCTGCTCCCGTACAAGGCCCGAGTTATCCGGGCGCTGGCCAAGCCCTTGGATGACAAGAAGAGGCTGGTGCGGAAGGAGGCGGTGGCAGCACGGGGGGAATGGTGAGTGTGTGTGGAGCTGCTGGGGCGCTGGCGTGTTGGGGACGTGGCTGATGGCACTATCTCTGTCCCCACAGGTTCCTGCTGGGGAGCCCGGGCAGGTGAGCACCCGGCATCCCCTCCCTGTGCCAACTGACAATCTGACCGGGCCCCCGCTCACCTGCCAAGCCATCCAACCGATGCCACGGACCCTCAGAGCCCGGTGCTGCCCCGGGAGCCGGGGCTGGAGCATGGGGGCCGGCAGACAGCTCCCCTTACTGCGGCACCTTCCTGGCACCCCCGCCCTCTTCCTGGCACCCGCCGGAGGGAAGGAGCTGTGCCGCTCGTGGCTTGCCCAGCCTCTGCTGCAGCCAGGGACAGTGACAGACAGACTCGCCACGCGTGGGTGGAGAGGGCAGGCCTGTGCACACGCGTACGGTGTGTGGCAACCCACATGCCAGAGGAATAAATATATCTGTTTTGGTAATGCTGCGGGGGTCTCCGTGCAGCCCGCGCTGGGACTCCAGTGCCCTTCCAGATGCTGAGTTGGTGCTCTGGTGCTGCTGGTTACAGGCCCTTACTCCTTCCATGTTGGGGAATCGTGGGCATCCCTCTCCTCCCCTGCCCCCAGAAGTCTGTGCCCCCCACCAGGGAAAAGAGCCAGGCTTCCTTAAAAAAAAAAAAAAAAAATTTATTGGCTGGTCTTAAAAAGGCTCACGGGGGAGTGCTTGGGGGTGCCGTCCTCTGCACCCAGCCCTGCCGCAGAGCCCGGCTGGGCCGTACCTGTGCCAGCGAGGGCGGCACCTTCAGCGGGAGCGGGGAGCAGCAGCTCTGCCGCCTTTCCCCGGGGCTGCCTGCAGCCCCCAAGGAGCCAAGAGAGCAGGCATCCAGGCACTGACACTGTCCAAACAGTTTCCCGTGGCTCCGGCTCCGGTCAGCGATGGGTGCCGGCACCCGCCCTGGCGCTTGGGCCGAAGGGAGGCGCGGCAGCAGAGCGGGTTCCCTGTGCGCTCCCCTGCCTGCGGGGAGGGACGTCCGCAGCACGCGGGCCTCAGATGGCCAGGAGCGGGGCGCGCTGCTCGGCCACGCAGGGAGGCAGGTCCCAGCTCAGGCCCGTCCCGTGGGGCAGGTGAGGAGAGGGCAGCAGGACGCGGGTGAGCCAGTGCCTGCGGGGAGAGGAGTGAGGCCGCAGCAAGAAGCTGAAGTCTCGGTGCTTCCCAGCTCTGCAGAGCTGAGCCAGGGCTGTCGGCGCCAGTGAGGGGCGCGAGCCCGTGTCCCAGTGCTGCCGCGGTGACCGAGCTCCCCAGCCAGGGCTCTCTTGGCAGAGGAGTGCCACCGGGCAGGGCTGAGGAACCACAAGGCAGCTGATGCCCAGGTCCTCCATGGCTTGCAAAGCTGAAGCAGCACACAGTGTGGGCTGCTCGCTGTCCTGCTCTGCCCCACTGCCCAAGGAGAGCCCCAGTGTCCCAGCACCCCCACACGCTGCTCAGCCACCACCTTCCCGGGCAGGAGCTTTACCTTGGCACGTCCACACCCAGGAACACCTTCCAGTTATCCCAGCCACCGTAACTGTAGGGGTTCCTGAAGACCTGCAGGCCAGGGAGACGCGCATCACGCCCGGCTCTGCCCCGGCCAGCCCTCCTGCTCTGCGGGCTGCGCTCACCTTGCCTTTCTTCTGCAGCCTCTGCCTCTCCTTCTTGTTGATGTGCCGCTCGATGCTGGTTTCCCCACGGGTGATGAGGGCGGCGTGCCACAGCGTGAGGGCACCCAGGGCCAACGCAACCGAGCTGGGGACAGCAAGGGACAGTGGGTGGCACACAGGCGTTTCTTCCCTGGTGCCACAGCTGGGGGGGGCTCAGGCTGCCTCCCCGCACCCACGGCTGCGTCGGTGGGTGGGCTCATCTAATCCCCCGTGACAGAGAGCCGAAATCACTCCTCCTCCGTGGCCCACGAGCTGGCAGGGCAGGGACGTCTGCGCTAGAGCAGGCCAGCCCAGCCCCGGGGAGGGCGAGCAATGTCACGGGGCAGGAGGCTGCATTCTGCTTCCACCAGCACCCTCGCTCCCAGCCCCCGGGCCCCGTTACCTGCACAGGACCCAGAGGTAGACCACGCTCTTGTGGAAAGCTCGCTGGCGGAAGGAGAAGGTGGGCGGCGGGGTCTGGTAGTACGTCTGAAAAAGGACCAGAGTGGGACAGGATTAGCCAAGCTGCTTTATAGCTTGAAACCAGACAGGGGAACTGCTGTGCCCCTCACTGATGCAGAACAGCTAGAAAGGACTGTGGCTGGAGCCAAGACAAGAGGCGGGGTGATGGGAGGCAGCCTGAGACAGCCACAAGACAGACAGACACCTGGGAGCCGGCACAGGGGCGAGAAGCCGTGGGCTGGAGGTAAGGGGGCAGGGAGCAGCCGTGGTCAGGACACTGCACCGCAGCTGACGCTCGGGGCGCGGTGCGTACACGCTGCCGCAGCCTCGCCAGGAGAGCAGGGCCTGAGCAGCGCATGCCAAGCAGCTGCCACCAGCTAAAGCTCCTGGAAGCTGGGTGCAGAGGGAAGCAGATCCCAAGCTGCTGGAGGCAGTGCCCGTGGCAGAGCTGCCCGGCCAGCCCCGGCTCTCTGACACGAGACGAGCACGGGGGCTGGTTCTGGCTGTGGGGTGCTCCTTGAGAGCAGGGCCCCAGGCAGGACCCAGCCTGAAGGGCAGCTCTGCTCCACGCTGCCTGGAGCAGGTGGGGGGCAGGGATGTCCCACCTGGTTGGCAGCCACCTCCAGTGTCTCCTTCTCAAGCAGTTTCATTCTCTAGGGGGATTGAAAACAGGGCACCGGTTATGTGTCTCAGAGGAGGGGGCCCTTTCCCCTCACCCCCCCGCAGGACCAGGGCAGCTGGGGGCGTCGTAGCAGGAGGGAGAGGGGAAACAAAGTCACTACAAGGCCAGGGCTGGCCCAGCCTTGTTCTGCAAGCTCAGCCCGGGGAGCCCAGGCAGCCTCGGTGCACGGCAGAGGCAGGGCGAGGGCTGGGGCCTGCCTGCTCACCTCGATGGCTGTGTAGGCGTCCCGGAACATCTCCCAGCCGCTGATGCTGCAGTAGATGCAGCCCATGGTCATGAACAGGCAGAAGGAGAAGAAGTAGCGGTGGTTGTAGTGTCCCACGCAGTTGTTTAGCCAGGCTGCTTCTGGGGTTAAAGGTGTGTAACTGTGACAGCCCATGGGTCCAAACCCACCCCAGGGACCAGGGCAGTTCTTCTGGGCCCAGCCCCTAGCACCCTTCCCCATGCTGGCTGACTCAGGAGTGGAGCAGGGCAGGGAGAGAAGAGGGAGCAGGGCCGGCTCCCCCCGGGAGAGCGCCGCGGGTTAGTACTGCAGAAGGATACGGCAGTGGTGGTCCATCTTCAGCACGCACCTGGGAGGGAGGAGAGCAGTGCCAGGGTCAGTGCCAGCACAAGCACCGTGTTTGGGAGGGGGCAGGCAGCCCCCCCAGCCCTGGGGCTGTGCTAGAGACGAGGCAAGAAGCCAGAAGAGCAGGGGGGAAGGGGGCCCGGTCTCGCAGCATGGCGGAGGGCAAGGAGAGGGTCCCGGAGGCTGCCCCGAGTGCTGCGGTGGGCAGAGGGAGGGAGCCCTACCTGTTGCAGATGCTGCAGTGGTGGGTGCGAGCTGGCTTGGGGGCAATGCATTTCCTGCAGATGGAGACGCCGGTGAGGTCGTCCTTGGCCTGTACACGGGTCAGAAGAGATTTGTGCACCCAAGCCCTGCACCCATCCCCTGCTCCCCAGGCTCCTCACCTCCCCTGGGACCCCCCCGGCTCCCCTCCCCGCACTGCCCAGCTGCCCCGAGCTGGAGGAGGCCTCCTGCAACGACGCCACCAGGCTGGTTTAGCTGTTCCCAGTGACCGCTCGTAGCTGGTCCCCAGTGCCCAGCTAGGAGAGGCTGCGCTGCCAGTCGGTGCCTCACCTGCGGTGGGTACCCGGGCGACGTGGTGATGGCCATGTAGTAGTGGAAGACGATCATGATGAGGTTCCAGTGTCCGTAGGCGAGGTGCCAGCAGATCCAGGCAGGCGTGTAGGTCTGCAGGATGAGGGGCAGCAGGCAGATGTACACGATGGCCACAATGGAGCTCGTCAGCCCGATCACCAGTGCCACAAACACCTACGGGAAAGGGGCCTGGGTCACCAGAGTGGGCAGCGCCTGCCCCTCGCTGGCCGGGGAGAGGCGCGGGCAAGATACAGCCACAGGGAACCAAGCTGAAACACAGGCTGAGGCCCCCGCTCCCTTCCTGCCTAGCGCACAGGCAGCCCTGAGACTCAGTTGCCCCAGCAGCACACTCGCCCCAGCCCCCAGAGCCAGGTGCCCCCCTGCCCGGTGAGGCAGCTCCATGCCAAGGGTACTCACCACGCCGAACCACCGGGTGACGTGGTCCACCAGCCAGTAGATGGGCTCGAAGAGGGAGTCGAGCACCACGTCACCGTTGGTGAAGGAGTTGTAGAGCAGGGAGTGGAGGCAGAGGTGCCCGTAGTGCCACAGCTGCTCCACCTGCCGCACCAGCTTAAACCGCCGCCGCCGGCCCAGCCGCAGGCACTTGAGGAGCAGGCGCATCACCGCTGCAAACATCCGCTGCCGGCTCCTCATCCCTGCCACGCCACACCTGCGGGGAGAGGAGCTCAGCGTGGGCAGGCTGCCCCGCTGCCTGGCTGCCCCTCAGGAAGGGTCTCCCCTCCCGGACGCACTGATGCCGGTTGCGCAGCTCCCTGCACCGACACTGCCGAACTCCCGCCTGCACAGCAGGGCAGGGGCCTCTCCTTTGCCCTGCACGAGGATGCAGAGCAGGCAGAGCTGAGCCCAGACTTCTGGACGCTGCAGGACCACTGTCACTGGGACAGCTCTCCGCGTGGAGCGGGGGGCACAGGCCCCTCGGCGTCTGGGCTCAGATGCTCTCTGGTCCCATCTCGTCTTTCCCGGCGGGGAGGGGGCCGGGGGAGCGACACTGAGAGTCTGACTCAGAGGAAACCAGAGAAGGCACGAGCATGCAGGATGCTGGGCCAGTTCCAGGGACAATCCCAGGTCCAGCCCTTCCCAAGACATTCGGGAACAGGGGAACCCGCACAAGACATATGCGGAGGAGGAAGGCCAGGATTACTCCTCCTCCCCTAGACCCTCTCCTCAGCCCCAAAAAGCAGGGCCTGGATGCTACTTCCCTTCATTTCAACCTCTGCACCAAGCTGCAGAGGCCACCCTGCACCTTTCCCAACCTCACAGCCCCACTCCAAGAGTCCCAACGCTTTCCCTCTCTCCCTCGCCTGGATCCACCTTGGACAGCGCCACACGGAGTGGCCTGGGGGCAGCCCCAGGCCCAGGCAACGCTGTGAATGCTCCCCTGCCTGCTGAGCCCCTCGTCCCACCTGAGAGCCATGTTGTGAGCGAGGAGGAACCCGAGCTGGCCCAGCAGCTGGGAAAACGATCTGCAGGGTTGGGGCCCCCAGGCCTCCGTGCAGGCAAGGCCCATCAATATTAAGCAGCGAGGCTGCCCCGGGGTCCTGCCAAGGCACGTTCTGAGCCTGGGCCAAGTGTTCGCCTCGGCACAGTGCCAGTGCCATGCTGCAGAGCCTGTCCAGCAAGAACCGGCTCCCTGTGCCGCCATGCCCGCTGCACAGCCCTCAGGGAGCAGCAGGGAGGGTAAGGGCAGGAGCTGCAGCATCCAGATGGGCTGTCCAAAGGAGCCAGGGGCTCCCCTCTGTCCTGCCAGACAAGCGTGGGGCTGACCCCAAGGCTGGGAGCAGCTGGACACAAGGACACCAGACCCGTCAGCCCAGCCCAGGTCACAGGCATGGCTCCTGCCCAGGTTTCCTGTACCCCGGTAAGGGAGAGGTGGGATGTGCAAACCCCAGTGCCACCCCCTTCCCCACATTTCCCTTTGACTCTGCCAAAAGCTTTCCTCTGAAACACATCAGGTGCAAAGTGGAGCAACAACTTCCTGCTGTGCAGCCTTTGGGTGGCACCCATCCCCGTGTTTTCAGTGTGGTAAGAGACAAAATGCTGCAGTCAGCAGCAGGTCTTGGGGTCAGCCCTCCCCTCCAAAGACACAACACCCCCCTGCCCCTCAGAGAAGTTTCCTTGCCTACAACAGCCAGCAGCTGCTGAGCAGGCAGCCGGCCCGACCCAGGGCGGGATCCCCCTCTGTCCCCAGGCACCTGCCTGCAGGCAGCGGCACAGCCACAGGGATGAGGCTCCAGCAGAGCCATGCACCCTCCCTGGCCCCGTCAGGCACCGGGACTCCAGCCCTTGCTCTGCCCACGGCCCTCCCTGCATCCCAGTGGGGCACTGAGCCCACAGGGATGGGACAGCAGCCACCAGCACAGCCAAGGCCGCAGGCAACATCAGAGCCTGGGGCAGGGGGAACGTTAGATTTGGCCCTACCCGAGGCAGAGCCAGGGCCCTGCTCCTGCTGGGTCCAGCAGCCCGGACCCAGCCCTGTGGCACCCTCCAGTGGCGCCCAGCTCCCCCAGTTCAGCAGCACCCAGCCCCACCGCGCCGAGACACTCCCTGGCACCCAGCCCCGCCACGCAAAGGCTGCCCACACCAACAGCAAAACCCCCTCAGCCCCGCCGCATCCAGCCCCATAACCCCCCGGA